CAGGTTGTTTTTGGACAATATGGGCTTCAGTTTAGACAGCCACCTCAGGTGGAAGAAACATGATTTAACAATCATGTTTACATGATTGTTAAGTTTCAGGGAAGGGTCCATTATCACGCCCAGATTAGTGACTCTTTGTTTTTCTGACAGGGTTAGAGCGGAAAGGTCAATGCAGTGGTTTGTGATCGTGTCGTTGGGAGGGAACAACATGACTTCAGACACATGTACCATTGTGTCTTATGGGGAAGTAAATTTGACAGTCATCGGCATAGAAATGAAAGGGCATGTTGTGTTTCCGGAAAATAGCACCAAGCGGCAGCAGGTATAAAGAGAATAGGAGGGGACCCAGTATTTACCCCTGCGGAACCCCCCATTTAAGCTCTGCCTCTGCGGAACTAAAATCCTTTATGGAGACACAAAAGGATCTGTCAGTGAGGTAAGATCTGAACCAATTGAGGGCTGATCCTGTGACGCCCACCCACTGCTCCAACCTAGCAATGAGGATCTCATGGTCGATGGTGTCAAAGGCAGCTGTGAGGTCCAACAGGACAAGCAGCACAGAATCACCGGTATCTGTGAATCTGAAGATGTCGTTAAAGACCTTCAATAGGGCAGTTTCAGTGCTGTGGAGAGGTTTAAAGCCAGATTGGAAAAGCTCTAAGATGGTGAGACCTTCCAGGAAGCACTTCAACTGGGACTAGACTATTTTCTCCAGTACTTTTGAAACAAATGGGAGTTTGGAGACAGGCCGGAAGTTGGAAACGAGTGAGGGGTCAAGGTTTGTTTTTTTCAGGAGAGGCTGGACAGCAGCTTGTTTAAAGGATTTTGGCACCACGCCAGTGGATAAACTACTGTTTACTATGGCAAGAATGGATGGACCTAGAGTGGGAAACACCTCCTTTAGTAGTCGAGGGGGGACCACATCAAAGGGGGAACCAGAAAGTTTCAAGCTGCACATGACCTGCTCTAGAGAAGATAGAGTGATGGGTTCAAAATGGTCAAAAGGAGCTACAGATTGAGGTGGGATGGATGGGTCATGAGTTGGTGTTTTAATTTTAAATTTTGTTGGTGTTTTAGTCATCCTAGTGGTGGAACAACACTATTAAGACTTTTATTTGTGAATTACTGTCACTGATTTTTGCTAAATACATCACCTCAATGTGAACTCTGAAGAAAACCTGAACTTTATTACTGGTACTTGTCCATTATTGTAGTGTCCCACCTCAGTGCTGTCCCCAAAGTTAAACAAGGTGAAAAGCCTCAGCAGCGATTAAATAAGACCTGGAAAACAGTCCTTTAGGAATCATGAGGGTGTTCTGTACTCTGCTGCAGAGTTATGTTGTGCAGCTTTGTTAAAGAAGTGTTGAAGGCACTGGAGGAGAGCTGCTGAAGTGGGATCTGAGGATCTCAACCAGTCTAAAATAGCAGCGGTCCAGACATGGAAGGAGTGTGTTGGTTCAAGAGCTTCCTTGCTGGAGATTCTAAAGGCTTTTGAGCAAAAATGAGTTATCAACCCACACATGGGACCACATGTTGTTCACTGTGGGGCTGCAAGCACTTCTGATATGGACAAAATAAAAATATTCTAGTTTTTAAAAATAAATCCCCACGGGGTTTGGTACCAAGGAGGCAGCACGTCCGTTGTTTGGAATTATTTTGGCTATAAAAGAGAAGACGCTGCACAACGACATGCATTGTGCAGAACCTCTCAGGTTCAATCCCCAGTCACTGCACATCACGTGGCGTCTCTGGGCAGCACACCTCATCCCCAAAATGCCCTCCGGGCGCTTTCGATAGCTGCCCACTGCACCACCTGGTGGTGGATGGGTTAAATGCAGAGACTAATTTCGCCATTGTATGAAAACATGCTGTGCTGACATTGTGATGACATTATTATTATAATTATTATTAAGTGCTGATAAAGATTTGTGGTGTTACCTCGAGAGGTAGCAACAGCAGCAAGGCAGGTTCTGCACAATGCATGTCGTTGTGCAGCGTCTTCTCTTTTATAGCCAAAATAATTCCAAACAACGGACGTGCTGCCTCCTTGGTACCAAACTTGCATATGTATCAGCTTCTGTCGAGCCTGACACCATTGTACAACATGTTAAAGCGCAGTGTTGACTTCTCCTGTTCCCTGCTCTTTGTGCCGCTCACTCGCAAATCACTTAACCAAATCATGTGACCAGTCAAATTGCAACCTTTGCGATTAGAAAATCTTGTTTTATCATATTGCGATATTATTGCAAATGCATTTAATTGTTCAGCCCTACTCAAAATCAACAACAACAATATGCATCCTGAATCATCACAGCTTCTACCCTGAGGCTGTTAGACTCATGAATCTCTAACCAGGATAATCACCGTGAAAAAATTACATCATGTTGCTGCTGATCTGTTTCATGCTGATGTGTTCATGCGTGCTCATCTGCTCACACAGCCTCATGTTTGTGCTGCTGTTGGGCGTAATGTTTTTATGCTATTAGTGCTTAGTGTATTTTTAGTTAACATTTTTCTTAGTTCATATCTTGGATGTTATTACTGTTTTTCTTTACATTTGATTGTTGGATGTAACTGGGACCCTGTGTACACAATCTCGTTCCACCACATACCACATGTGGTGTGAATGAAAATAAAGAAACTCTGATTAATATGATGAAACAAATATTCTTGAAGAAATGCATATTGTCTCTCTCTTTGCTTGGCAAAGTTGTAAACAAAGATCATGATCTGTTTCGTCTGCGACCTTTATGATCAAAAGAGCCATTTTTACACCTTCGTGCACTAAATTCAATGTGTCCAGAGCTGCAACAACCTGCCACAACTGTTATCAACTGGTGGCCCATGGGCCACTTTAAATTTGTTGGAAAGAGACTTTTGTGGCCAGTAGGGGTGACATTATAAATCTAAAAATATAATAATCATAATGTCATCACAATGTCAGCACTGTATGTTTCCATACAATGGCGAAATTAGTCTCTGCATTTAACCCATCCACCACCAGGTGGTGCAGTGGGCAGCTATTGAAGGTGCCTGGGGGGCATTTTGGGGATGAGGTGTGCTGCCCAGAGACACCACCCACCACCAGGTGGTGCGGTGGGCAGCTATTGAGGGTGCCCGGGGGGCATTTTGGGGATGAGGTGTGCTGCCCAGAGACACCACGTGATGTGCAGTGACTGGGGATCGAACCTTGGACTTTTGGGTCCCAAGCCGGCTGCCCTGCCTCTACACCATCTCGGCCCCCATATATTTAATGATGTTTAATATTTATTGATATTATTACAATTTAAGACAAATGAAAAAAATAGATTTTGGAAAGAGGTGGGGAAAGTTTTTTTTAAATTAAAAACAAAACAAACTATGTAGATCTATGTATTTTTTTTATTGTGGACAATATATTCAAGTATAGAAATAAAGCAAAAAGTTAAATTGAGTATTTGCCAAAGAAATGACATGAAAACAGCTAAAACTTGTACTTTTTTTGTTGTTTAACAACTAATAAACTTCAGTTTTATGTTAGTTTTAGTCAAAGCTTGAAAGAGCCGCATGTGGCTGTAGAGCCGCAGGTTGCAGTTGGGGATGACTCTCACATTATCCTATCAAATCACACAGAGCAAGTTCACTTAGATCCAAACAAGCTCACATCATACAGTCTCTGTGTACTGATTATTGATAAAACCAAATATTTAAATTATTTACCTTACTCTTTCATCTGAGACCACAAAGACCAATTAAAATCAAGTTAGTTCAGCAACTTTCCAGATCAAAACGTTTTCACACTTTTTCTAATAGATATAAAATCCCATCAATGGAATGGCGTTTTCAGCATGGCCATGTTTTTATTTATGCTCTGAGACCTGCTTATTTATTTAAGAGAACATTAGTCAGCAGAACAAAACCAGAAAAGCTTGTAAAGAAAGCCATTAAAGGGCTGGAAAAGCTTTTGTGTTTGATGGATCAGCTTGTGGGGGTTGCTGCAAAGGAAAGCTCCATAAATCATTAAAGCCACAACAGGTAAGGTTAGTAAGTAATAAATAATAACATTTATTTCTGTCAATCTGAAAGTAAGTGATCAGTACTAATATGAAGAGTCGTTGATACTGGGCCAGCTGAGATGTAGCTGTGCTGTTTGTGGGATCATCAGACTGGTTTGTGGAGAATTTATTGCTTGTGTTTGGTCACCTGGAGTAGAAAGTCCACATTTCTGTGAATATATTTATTTTGTAAAGAAAAATCAATCCAGAGGCTGCAAAAGATGACCTCAGTGTTTTCTTGGAAGGCTTTCGGTCAGTTTGGGTACTAACAGTCACCCTGTTCATCAAAAATGTTCTTATCCATCCATCCATCATCCATCTGTCATCCATCCATTATCTGGGCAACTGTGGCTGAGTGGTTAGAGCAGTAGTCCTGCAATGCAAGAGCTGGGGGTTCAATTCCACCAGCAGTCACATGCCGAAGTGTCCCTGGGCAAGACACTGAACCCCTCAGTGCCTCCGATGTGTGTCCCATCAGTGTATGAATGTGATAAAACACTGAGTATTCTTTGTAGAGATCTAGTAGAGTGCTGTATGAATGGGTACATGAGGCACAGATTGTGTTGTAAAGAGCTTTGAGTATCTTGATAAGATAGAAAGGTGATGTATAAGTACAGACCATTTATCTTTTACCCGTTTCTTCCTTTTTGGGTCGGGTGGATCACCGGTGCCCACATCCAGCGGTCACTTTGCAAGAGTCGGGGTACACCCTGGACACGTCTCCAGTCCATCACAGGGACACATAGAGACAAACGAGTCAAACAGCCATTCACTCTCTCACTATCACTTAGGGATTCGATCCGGCAAACTTCTCTCTGAGAGGCGGCAGCTCTACCAGCAGCACCACCCATATCATGGCCCATATATATGCCCATACCTGAAACAAAAAAGAGAAATGACATGATTTATATTTTATGCTGCCTCTCAGTCTCCAGATCCATGAAAGTGCTCTCTTACTTCCCACAGGACTACACTCTGACTATGTACTTCCAACAGTACTGGAGAGATAAGAGACTGGCCTACGCAGGGATCCCTCTCAACCTGACTCTGGACAACAGAGTGGCAGACCAGCTCTGGGTCCCGGACACCTACTTCCTGAACGACAAGAAATCCTTTGTGCACGGTGTTACTGTCAAGAACCGGATGATTCGACTCCACCCAGATGGGACTGTTCTCTATGGCCTCAGGTCAAAACTTTATCAAGAACTTTATTTGGTTTCCAAAAAAAAAAAAACCCAAACCTTTAACCCCCACTCAAAACAGCAGTGATTACAGGCAATTCTTGTGTTAAACCTAGCTTTATTATTATCATCATTGTCACTATAACAGTAATGGGCTAATCAATCGTGGATGCTTTTAATGGGGCAGTTTCAGATTGACTCAGTAAAGACTTTAAACACTTTTAATACAGTATCAAATAGAAATGCGCAAAATTACAGGTGACAATTCCCAAAAAATACAGCTGTAGCACTTTAGATTGACAGAAACTAAATTGAGAAGAATTCAGACAAGTTCCAGACGCCTGCGACACAACTCAATTAAATTCAGTTCAGTTTATTTACATAGCACCAAGTCACAACAGAAGTCGTTTCAGTGTACTGAACAGAATCATTCGTATATAGAAATAATAAGTTAACATTAACTATGTGAGGAGCAGACTGCTTAACTTCATCACACTTCATCTTGAGCTAGCACAAAGGCAACAGTTGAAAGGTAAAACTCCCTCATGAGGAAGAATCCTTTAGCAGAACCAGATTCAGGACAAGCGGCCATCTGCTTCGACCGACTGAGTTTGAGAGGAACAGGAAGGAGGAACAGATACACAATGGCAGGTCAAGAATCACGTTAGGATAGAAATAATATCAAATGAAAACTATTCAATTTTAGCAAATCTTTTAAGGAAATGAGGTCAATTTGTCCTCTAGTAGTCTATTGCAACATGACAAGCCAACCCTAACTATAGGATTTATCTAAAAGGAAAGTTTTAAGTCCAGTCTTAAAACTGGACAATGTGTCAGCCTCACAGACAGAAACTGGAAGTTGGTTCCACAAGAGAGGAGCCTGATAACTGAAAGAGCTTCCTCCCCTTTCCGCTTTTGGAAACTCTAGGAACCGTGAGTAAGCCTGCAGTCTTACTCTGTAACTATTGTGTAGAAAATAAAATTGTTCAAACTTTTTTGAACGTGTTCAAAATTCAAGCCATGCAAAAGCAAGGCCCAGTGACTAATTTAAGGAAACTGAGAACCTTTGCAAACGTTTCAAGCCATTTGAAAAAAGCTCCTTTGCAAATTCAGTTTGCGATTCGTAGCTAACATAAAGACCCAGCGAGTTGCTGATTTTACTGTTTTCACTTTGAATTTTCTCCTGTGTTTGGCCTCATTCAAACAAAAACAGTTTTTTTTTTTTAAAAAGTGTTTTTTGTCATTTAAAAATATATATTTTAGTAAACATGGCACTATTTCTAGAAATATTCTAATTTAAAAAAAAAAATTTGAAAAATGAGCCAGAACATTGTAGTATGCCACATTTTTGTATATCTTTTCATATTTAACCACAGCGATGACTACTACTACTACTATTACTAACACTACTTTTTACATTTGTTTATTATCAGAATCACAACAACAGCGGCCTGCATGATGGATCTGAGACGATACCCTCTGGATGAACAGAACTGCACTCTGGAAATTGAGAGTTGTAAGTTTTAGTCTTTCGCTTGGTAAAGAAAAATGACAGATGGCCTTAACTTTCTCCTCACCTAAAATGATGAGCGGTGCCGCATCCTCATAAAGAAGTTTTTACGTTCTTCATCTAGTGGGGACAAAACTGCACAGGCTGCATGAATTGCTCTGGATTTATTAACTTGTCGTATCTCAGCAAGATTGCTCGCTGCATCGTCTCCAGTTAAAATGATTTTGTCCATGCAGACGAGTTTTGAGCAGACAGCTATTTCCTTCAGTGGAGCGAGGTAATTAGTCCAGCGTCATCCGTCATTATGGCATGTTTGGCCATCTAAGCCGCCATAAAATTATTGACAGATATTAATCCTGTGCATGTGGCCCGTCTACCTGCAGGAGCACAAGTTTCCCACAAAGATTTGCATCTCGTGCCAGCAGCAGATTAACAGCACTCCATGTAAATCAGCTGTGGATGAATTTGCCTGTCCACCAACATGAGATAGCTGCCCTTTTCAAGACTTTATCCCACTCAGACTCACATTGTGGCTTGTTTTCTTATAGATGGTTACACAACAGATGACATAGGGTTCTACTGGATGGGAGGAGAGACTGCTGTGACTGGGGTGACACGAATCGAGCTCCCTCAGTTCTCCATCGTCGACTACAAACTTGTCTCCAGGAATGTGGTGTTTTCCACAGGTAAATAAAGAGGAAGTCACAAAAATTATGTTTATGTGATGTGGAGTTGATCATAAGTTGACACTGAATCATTAAAACAATATCTTTTAGGAACTCTCCTAGAGTCACAAGCCAGTTGGATCTATTTTGTAACGAACCCCGTATAATGGACCAAAATCACCACCACAAAAAATA